ACAGCAGCGATGAAGATAGTGAGCAAGATATGCAGAGAAGGGGAATCTCTAAACTTGATGCTCTTGACGTAAGATAAAGGGTTTAGGGTTTAGGGTTTAGGGTTTGGGGTTTAGGGTTTAGGGTTTAGGGTTTAGAGTCTTGGTAGCATATGTGTTGAAGTTGAAACAAAACACAAAATAACATTCCTAACCATGATGTTGCTGCTTCTGCTGCTGCTGCTGCTGCTGCTGCTGCAGGATTTAGCTGTATGTGATGGTAGTTGGCGCTGCGGCGGTGCTGCTGCTCAATACGAATCTTTATTTAATGCTAATTGGAGGCCCCAATGTGAATTCGGCAGGTAAACCCTAAACCCTAAACCCTAAAAAATCCCTAAACCCTAAACCCTAAATCGTAAACCCTCACCATAATGTAATAAACACCCCCCTCCAAGTACCTTAGGACCCCAACCACCAGAAATTAGGGTTTAGGGTTTAGGGTTTATCTATATTCAGGTATATGGGTGCAACAAATGTATACAGAAATAAAAAAGTGTTTATCTATTTATTTATTATCTAGAATATACTATCGAGTATTTAGAAATTTTTCAAATTTTCTAGGGTTTAGGGTTTAGGGTTTAGGGTTTAGGGTTTAGGGTTTAGGGTTTAGGGTTTGTATATTTTTCAGGTATATGGGTGCAATAAATGTAGCGACAGGAATAAAAGAGTGTTAATGTATTTTTGACTTATATAGAATATATTTTTTTTTCAAATTTTCTAGGGTTTAGGGTTTAGGGTTTAGGGTTTAGGGTTTAGGGTTTAGGGTTTGTATATTTTTCAGGTATATGGGTGCAATAAATGTAGAGACAGGAATAAAAGAGTGTGGATTTATTGGTGATGAATTTATGATTGCTGCTAGTGATGATCATTCTGCATGCATATTTAGATTAATTGATGGTAAGAAATATTCAATAAATAAATAAATAAATAAATAAATAAATAAATAAATAAATAAATAAAATAAAATATATAAATAAATTATTTACGTATTTATTTGTTTATTTATTTGTTTATATTTATTGTGTGTAAATTTCTGTTTCTTTTGCCCGTTCCTTTCCTTTTTGCTGCTGTTGCTGCTGCTGCTGCCATTGCTGCTGCTGCTGCTGCTGCCATTGCTGCTGTTGCTGCTGCTGCTGCTGCTGCTACTGTTGCTGCTGCTGTTGCTGCTATCTGTGATGTTTATGTGTCTGTTTTTTTTGTGTTGCTAATACTGCCAACAAATTCCTTCAATCCCTTTAATTGTTGCTGTTGCTGCTGTTGCTGCTGCTGCTGCTGCTGCTGCTGCTGCTGCTGCTGCTGCTGCAGGGGAGTGTGTAAGCGTCCTGCGTGGTCACGAGCAGCCACTGAATTGTGTACAAATAAACCCTAATTCTTCTTCTCTTGTTACTAGCGGTATAGATGATTATATTTGTCTATGGACCCCACAACATAATCATTATGCTCATGAGGTATGCTGCTGCTGCTGCTGCTGCTGCTGCTGCTGCTGCTGCTCTTTGTTGTTGTTGTTGTTGTTGTTGTTGCTGGTGGTGTATATTTATATTTATATATTTAATTCTTTTTATTATTTTTTATTGTTTGTGTTTGTCTGCAGGAGCAGCAGGACAGGTAAGAAGAGTAAATGCAGCAGCAGCAACAGCAACAGCAGCAGCAACAGCAGCAGCAGCAGCAGCAGCAGTTTTATGTGTCTTGGGTTTAGGGTTTAGGGTTTAGGGTTTGTGTTTTGTTTGCTGCAGCAGAGGGACACCACGAACTCTTATTCCTCCTTACTATAGCAGGTGTACTATTCAATAATAAATAAATAAATAAATAAATAAATAAATAAATAAATAAATAAATAAATAAATAATAAAAATAAATAAGTAAATAAATAAGATAAATAAATAGATAAATTATAATTAATAATAATAAAAAGAATAGATAATAATTATCCATTAATAATAATAATTTATAATAAATTATATTAATTAGTATAATAAATAATAAATAAATATTAATATAAATAAATATAAATAAATATAAATATAAATAAATATAAATAAATAAAAAAAATAATAAATAATTTATTATTCATAATGCAACAAGATGCAACTCGTACTCCTTAGTAGATAAACAGCGACAGCCAGGGGGGCCCCGAGGGGGCCCCTCAGAGGGGCCCCACTGGGGGGGCCCCCTCAGGTGTATAAAAGGGGCCCCCCACAGGTATTAAGGGGGCCCCCCACATAAGCAACCCTTCCCCTTAAAATACAAATCTATTTAGGGTACTTCTAGCGCGTAACCTGCTATAGGCAGGGGGGCCCCCTTGAGGGGGAAGGGGGCCCCACCTTGAGGGGCCCCCCCATATAAGGCGTGTGTGTTGTTTGTACCCTTTGGTACCCTTTTAGTAGTGAATTCCAAGAATTTCTATATATTAAGGGGGCCCCTATAGGGGGCCCCCCGCATGGCTGTATGGGGGCCCCTCAGGGGGGGGCCTGCAACACATAATGGGTGTATTAAGGGGGCCCATTGAGGGTTGTTGGGGCCCCCCCGGAGGGGGGCCCCCGAGGGTTTTTGGGGGCCCCCTAGTGGGGGCCCCCTAGGGCTGTTTTGCGTACAGGTTGTTTGGGGCTGTCACTGCATGCATGCAGAGACAGGGTAGTAATTAATAAGCAAGTAAATATTTTTATTTCTCTTTTCTTATATA